TTTAGAAAATTTAAATTATACTACACATTTGAGGTGTACAAGCCCATTTCCCACGTGATAGGACGCTGGGCAGATGGTGACATTACAGACATACTTAAGGTACTAAATGTACGGTGGCATCGGGGGAAGGGGAGAAGTTGGTGGGAAGAGGTGGGCCCGGTGCCCAGCGATGACGAGGTGAGTGGAGGCAGCTTTCTTACAAATTCACAGCGGATGTGCGAGGGCCGGCACAGGACGCCCAGGGCCAGGCTGGAAAGGCGAGTGCATAGCCCACAGGCGGCCATGAGCAGCAGATCTGTACGTAGGCAGACTGCAGGTTACACTAATGTGTGCTTTTGTGTGAACATGTGCATACACACACTTAGAGTTTAAATGTAAGATGATGCACTTAATTTTTCATATTTAAGCATGTTTTAAGGCTGTGTTACACTGTGCTGAATGACCAGTGCTTGCAACTAAATTCAGCATGCTGAGTGGCCATTCTTCCCTGAACTTTTATTTAGGGGAAAAATAATTAGTGGTTCCTGCATAGAAGCCAACACTGTGGTCTTTTCCAGCTCCTACTTAGTCCCACCCCCAGTATGGTTTCCCACTTCCCCTTCAGGGTAAAACCATTCCTCCCAATACTGCTGTGGCCAGCAGTTTCCCAACCAAATCATTCTTTTCTCTGTCAGGGCCTTTAAAAAAAAAACCAGGCAGCTGAGTTTCAGCAGAGAGAAATTCAGTTACTTTTCAATATCTCACTTTTAAGGATTTGACATTTTCCACATTTTTGGTTCTTGAGACAAATTTGAAAATAGTAATTATTCAGCAAATATTTATTGAGCGCCTACTATGTGCCAGGCACTGTTCTAGATACTGCAGATCCTTACCCTCTCGGGGAGCTAACATTCTAACAGGCAATAAACAAGAAGTATAATAAAAATGTACTCTGCCTAACATGTTATAAGGTAATAAGTACTATAGGAAATGTAGATGAGTCTGGGATATAGTCCCCATTGCCAGATTGTTCTTTTACGTTACTGTCTTGCTGAAAATGTCTAATGCTTTCCTAAGTGTGTGACTCAAGCATTTCTCTCTGCTCCTAGGCTAGTCTCCCACCTGCTACTGGGCCATCTATATAAACTCAGGCCTGGACCCTCACTGTGTCCCAGCCTCCTTCCCAGGCTCAAACTTTGCTCATACTGTTTTCTGACCCTTAGAATGTGCTCCCACCCTGTGCATATGGCCTATAAGAAACGTTGGTCCTTTCTCCAAGGTCATTTGTGGCCTCTGCAGAGCTCATCGACCGACCTTCAAGTCCCCTAGTGTTTGCCATCTGCCTCCCACATTCAGGTCCTTAAGCAAATTCCTCTTTGAATTTTTACCTAATGATTTCTGAACGCTGGGTATCGATAATATCCCTGTGCAAAAGATCAGCTCCTGGAGGGCAGGCATCAACCTCAGTATGTAACTCGACTGCTTGCTATAGGCCCTCAGAAAACTTCCTGTTGTTGAACATGACGGATAAACCAGTAAGTGGAGACATTTGTATAGTTTCTAAGTTGATGTACCGGACCTCTTTCCCACTTCTTAGAGGACGTAAACACGAGAAGATGCGTGCTGATTTTGTCATTCTATCTGCCAAAAACCAGTTTTTTAATCTTTGAGCAATTGTTTGTAAAACCGATTTGACGTAAGACATGGTATCTTCAAACCACTTGTATTTTCTATTATTACTCTTTGGAAGCATTCTGTAATGGATTTTTGGTTGCTTGTGTCTAAAATTCTAAATAATAGCTTGCTTCACTGTTAAGTACAGGTAATTAAAGTCTCATTCAATCAAATCCTTATCATGGCTGTCAAGTAAGTATAGTTTAACTCTGTTTACCGTGCACAGCCACACCAAGGCCACAGCAAGAAATGCCAAACCTGGTCACAAAAATTCAGAACCTGAGCTCTTTTTCAAAAGGCAGTAAACATCAACAGACATCTTTGAAAGCATCTCTTTAGGATTTGCTTTTCAGTGACTGTGCACACAAAGGACAGAGACAGAGACTGAGAAAGCAGCAGGTGTCTTGGCAAAGTAGGCAGCCTACTCTGGGGGACCTAGGGGTTTGCACAAGGAAAACCCAGCCACACTTGTAAGGGTTTATTTATAGCAACCGCTTAAAACTCCTCTGGCCCGGCCAGCGTAGCTCAATGGTTGAGTATCGACCTAGGATCCGGGAGGTCGCAGTTTGATTCCCGGTCAGGGCACATGCCCAGGTTGCGGGCTCAATCCCCAGTGGGGGGCGTGCAGGAGGCAGCCGATCAGTGACTCTCTCATCACTGATGCTCTCTCTCTCCCTTCCTCTCTCTGAAATCAATAAAGATTAAAAAAAACCAAAAAACCAAAACTCTTCTGAACTTGAACGCACAAGCCAAATATAATGAAAGCATCAAAGGATGAGGTGTTTTTTTTAAAGGCTTAAACATGATCCTTTGGAAGCTCTAGGAGCCAAGTGGACAGAGTAGAGCAAAACTCTCTCATACCCTAGATGAGTCACCTGAAAGAAAAGCTGCTAAAGTTCTTAATTTTCAACTCTAGTAAATGAAGGTCCCTATACAAAACTGAAAGCCTCCCGGTTTCTGCTCTTACTGCAATGAGCCAGCTCGCTGAAAAAGGGGCTGTAACAAACTTGAGTGCTTCTGTCCCTCCGGCCTTCTAACCGGCACTTCCACCGTCTTCCTAATTCCCAGTGAGGCTGCTCTGAAGAGCTACAGGGGCTCTTGCCAACCCTCCCTCTTAAAATGCTTGGAGAACCACTCTCCAGACTGGGAAGGCATTTGTGTCTGTCCTGAGCCACACTCCCGGTGCTCAACCCCACTGCTATAAAGCCCCGGTCCCAGAGAACTTAAAACAATTCAAATAGTGGGTCTCCAATAAACCTCAACAGGTTCCTATCCCTGCGTGGCTGGGCCTTTTGAGAGATACCCACTCCTTTCTCCTTAGTTCCACCTGTATTCGTTTTTTAGGCTGAAACTTTTTATAAAATTATCCTGTTGGAATTTCTTCCTCCCAAAAGGGGGAAATAATTCTAGAATTTGACAGTAGCCATCAAATAGTCAATCGGGTAAATTAAATGACCCTTTGACATCTTTTATTGGCTCCATTTCTGATGGTACTTGGTACTATAGCTGAAGCTGGCTCCTTTGTCCCTATCGGCTACCATCCTCTTACTGGATATTGGAAAAGTCCCCAGTGTACCCCCTCTCAAGATTCAAAGACTCCTCAGAACCCCTTCCCAGAATCAATCAAAACCCCATAAATATAGAAGCCCTTCAAGGTATAAAGTCCATAATAGATTACAAGCTTCAGGGCCTCATGATCCCTGTAATATTCCTCTTAGCTGTGAGGAAACCTAGGGGCCAAAGGGTGCTCGACACAGGCCTGCACCCCAGCCAAGGGCAAAACTGCCCGCATTTATATTGATAGCAGATATGCCTTTGGAATAGTTTATGATTTCCCACTGCTGTGGAAGCAACGTGGCTTCCTTACTTCCAGTAGAAATAAAATGAAAAATGGCCTGTACATTCAGAAAGTATCGGATGCTATACTTTGTTGTTGTTTTTAAAGTTGAGGTGTTTTATAAATTGAGAGCGAGGAACATCGATGTGAAAGAGACACACTGACTGGTTGCTTGGTTGTCTCCCCCAGGTGCCCTGATCAGGGCCGGGGATCTAACCTGCAACCCAGGTACCTGCCCTTCAATTTTACCTTCTGCTTTAGCTATTAAGATCCCAGGGGATTCTAAACTTGACTCCTTATGTATTTTGGAGACTAGCCCTTTATCAGATATTATGGTTTGCAAATATTTTCTCCCATGCAGTAGGTTGCCTTTTCACTGTTTTTTTCTCCTGCCTGACTCTAGAATGTTGGAATTACAAGACTCCATCTTTGGGCCTTTGATTTTAATTTTAATGAACTTAACCTTGAATGACCTCTTCTTTGCCAAAGTCTTTATTTAAATACCCCTGTGCTATTATATGCAATTTCTTCAACTCCCAGAGAGAGGTCTGAGTCTTAAGAAGAAAGCTTCAAAGTTCTCAGCATCACCATCAAGTCATATAAGGTATAAATGAAGAGATTCAACTGTATTTGGCTACATTATGAGCTAAGATGACCTTGCTGGGTCATTTCTGGAGTGATACAAGAGACAGTCAGATGCTAGCGGGGTAAATATGGGAAGTGAGGAAACTGAAGTAGTTGAGTGCAGATAACTCTTTCAAGCTTTGTTGGAACAATGGATTATTCTTGCTGTGCTACTCTGTGGTATAATAAACTTTCATGCATTCTTTAGGAAAGATTTAGCAGGGATTAATAGTTTGCTTACTCCTAAAGTAGACCTAAGAACCCTGGAAAACAAGGTAAAAAGAGCATAAGGTTACTAAATTTTTAAAAGATGAAATAGATATATTCAATGAACAGTATCATAAAACTTTCACAGTTGGCCAAACAAAAACAATTACGAGTTGATGCTTATGTGATGCAGAGGCATGAGAATCTGGACAAGATATCACCAATAACTTGACAACTGACTGAATACATAGCCTAAACCCATTACTTAGTTGGGGAATTGGATGGTAAAGAAGTCAAAAGCATCACTCAGGAAAGAATTGTTGGTCTCTTTACAACAGGAAATGTTTGGGGAAAACACATCTAACCCAATACTGTGCTAGATAAATAACACTGTGATTTTTCAAAACTGCATTGAGTTGCTGTACTTATTTGAAATTAGTACCGTTATCCATATTAATATTTTTCCAAGCAACAAAAATATATAACTTTTATTACCTAATCTATATTAATAGACTACTGAGGGATAACTAAAATAAAAAATCTTAAGAAGCAAGTAACCAGTGTTATGAACCAATTTCAATTTAAATGTCAACTGTCTGTTAGTTGTAAAAATTTGAGAGTAAATCCTTAACATTATTTGAAGTAGAGCTGTCCTAACATAATGCACACAAACCAACGGTCTATTTAATAAAAATATTTAATGCTGCCAAAAAGTATAAAAATACAGTAGGAATGGCAGTACAATACAAAGTAGTCTCTCCTAATTTATTTCTTTGACATCTTTCCACATCTCAAACACACATTAAAAAACTTAACAATACATCAAATTAGAGGGTTCTGCAAAGTCTTCTGCTGGTGGTGCTCTTCTTTCCCTGGATGTAAAGTTTACTTTGTAAACAGACAAATGTGAGGCAATCTACAGGTTTATCAAGCCTCACATTAGTTTCCGGAGTGGGCTTCAGGTCTTGCTTTGCACATCAATGGTTCAAAATTTATAGCTGCAGAATATTCTCAAGTCATGAATATTTAGGTGTCTGTCAATCTTGGCCTAAAACATAAAATAAGAAGTCATCTAATCAATTCATATTTACCAAACACACAGACGTACAGAGATACACACAAACATAAAAGGACTAAAAATGAACTAAAAAAGCAGCCAAAAACCATTCCGACACATCACATTCAACCACACTAAGTGTTTCACCGTTATCTCGGTAAAATTGCTTACACGCTAGGTTTTCAAACAGAATTGGTGGTATGAGGCAGACTCATGTTAAAGCACCATAACTCACATTGTTTTTTCAAGAATTACTAACTATGAATTTTGTAGGTCATCCTGTATTACTCAAGAAATGACCTCCATGTGAGATACTGACAGACAGACAGGTTTAAAAAAAATGTACCCACAACAGTTTAGCAAGATTATAGGTATGTGCTAGACTTACCAATCAATACTTTGGCATTCAATTCAAAAGTCTAATCCAATTTGGACCTCCACTGAATCATACTGCTAAAAATATTATAAATGTAATGTCTGAGCATAAAGTTGGCTTCTATCTTTAAATCATGGACCGTTAGCAGCATGCTTTTTATCCTGAAGGTAATACTAATGATTATAGCAACACAGAACTGGTGACACAATTTAGTTACTATCCATGTAAAAGAAAACACAGACATAAAGTAATTGATTTATTGTATTTTAATGCCAAACAGTAAAGATAAATGAGAGTTTAAACAAGCAATAGACAGAAGAAGTAACTATTTTAAGGGCAGCTGAGTTTTTGATGTTTTTTCACAATGTTTGCAAATAGCACAACTTCTGAGATAAATGGTATTTCCATTCTTCCCCCAACTTCCCTCACTGTAACAACAAAAACCCAAAGCTAAGTACTTGTCATTATTGTATCCCCACATATATAAACAGGAAACATAAACCGCACCCACATATTTATCCAAAACATTTAGTCAAAACCCCCAAAATACGAGTGGAGCCTCTCCTGACTACTGGCTCCTACCAAGCACCTTGGTGCTCTGAACACCCGTTGCCTCTGGTTTTCCAGCACTGACAGGGAAATGTCATCAGGATACATTCTCATTAGATGTCTGCTGATCACAAAAACTATGGCCACTTACTGCCGGGTATGACAGAATCCTGAACCCAAGGGGCTGAAGTAAGGAAAGGTACTCATTGATTCTGACGGCGGCAAAATACATATTTATTTCTTGCGCATTCAGAAAAGTGTTCACTGAAACAAAAGAACTTAATCCAACCAAAGTGCATGAAATAACGGTTTAGAGAATATTTTGATGTTCCAGTATTTCTCCGCTCCAGTGGCATTTCAAACTGTTTCACAATTTTGGAGGGAAAAATTTTGTTTCACTTAAGAAACAGTTACTTTAAATTTTAAGAAGTAAAAGTAGTTGCCTAATGTTTTTCCATCTAAATACCAGGTTTAAATATTGCATAAAAGCAGAGTCAGTGTGACATAATGGAAAAAGTATGAGGTCCGGAGTTAATGGGATTCTGAAGACTGGTGTCTGAATCTCAGCTCTGTCGCGTACTAGCTGTGCAATCTTAAACAAGGAACTTAGCCTCTTATTACCTCAAAATAGGGGTAATGCAATGTATCTAGAAGAGGTATTACGGGGGTTAAATTTAGGTATGTATTTAAACTGACTGACAGAACTGTAGGTATTCAACATACAGTATTGTCTTCCCAACAGGGTATTAAAGACACACTTCCCAAGGAAAACTACTATTTCCAACAACTAAAGGAAACTGACAGTTTTTAAAAATTCACTTATGGGCTTCCTTTTAGAGAAAGAAAAAAAAAGTTCACCTGAATCATTTTTTGCTGTTTTATTTAATAAGACAAAAGTAAAATCGGTTCAAACAAATCAAGTGGAATTAGCCGAGCTTGGTGCTTCCTTTGGAGAAGCAGCCCTCACTTACTGCCACCGGTCCTAGTGCTGGAACGGGCACGGGGGCTGGGTTTACAGACAGAGCAAAATCTTCCTGCGCTGGCTCCACGCCTGAAGCCATAGAAAATCAAAGCTGCACCCAAAATAGTTTTTGCCACCAGAATAATAAAAACTTCTCTAAGGTGAGCAAAGCACTGCCTTATAAACAAAATTAACTTACCTAGTTTCCCTTTCCTGATTTCGCCAAACTCAAAATAACTTTTTTTAGAGTTGAAACTTGAAATATCAACACCATCACATGTCTAAAACATCTATGCCAACTGAGAGCACCAATAAAATATTTGGTTTTAAGAAATGGTCTCTATAAAGAAAAAAATTCCTAAGCAATGTTCCTTATAGCTCCCCAAACATACTACTATGTCATGGAAAACCAGACAGTATTCAAACTGACTCTGTAATATCCTGACTAAATCCCGTAATCCTCATCTTCCACTCAAAATTATAAAACCAAAATAGAAAGCGCTCAAGAGACTGAACTTTTCATTCTAAGGGACTGCGCACAGATGGTCAGAGCTCTTTCAGATGTTCTCACTGTCCGTTGTTCAGGCTGTTACCGATCTAGACAAAGCCTCTCCCGCCCAGCAGCGGCCCGTCCGACCCGCTGCTTACACCCGGCAACGCTGTGATGGAGTGAACAGCAGGGGACACGAGGAAAGGGTCAGCGTTGACTGTGAGGGACAATCCCCCCCAAAGAAGTTTCTAGAATCCAGTAGCCAAAGGAGAGAACTCTTTCTCTGAAGAGTGGAGAGAACACTTGTGCAGCACTGCTCAGTGTCGTTCCTGGAGCGACCTGAACGTGGTGAATATTCCTACTCTTGGGGGAAAATGGGGCGGCCAAACGCAGGCCATCTCCCTCGCAGTTTTTCTTCTGCACGCTACCTAACAAAGCGGGCAGCGTAACATTTCCACATCTTAAAGCTTCAATTCCCAAATGTGGACGAGCAATGAAATGGCTTCCTCATGCCAGGTACATGGAACAGGGCGGGTAAGTACACAGGGTCGGACTGAGGATTCCTGGGGAGAACGGGCACTGCGGCGCCTACGCCCTGAGCTTCTTCCCACCCAGGCGTGTTCCATTTCCACAGTCAAGGGAACAACGGATGCTGGACTTTCTAACACACCCATTGTTGTAGGGGCTGTTGGTGCTGCTGGCTGATAAGCAGTGCTTTGAAGAGGGGTATAAGGCAAAATGGAATCAAATCCAACAAATGGACTAGGGAAAAAAGATGAAAGAAACAGGTCAACTCCAGAATCAATTACCCAAAGAATGACCAAGACCTGTATTTTAAGTTGGGAGAATTAAATTTTATTATGTGGAACACTAGTACATTTCTATTTTTCAGGATTTTGTGATCCTACCATCTAAGTAAGTGAAAGCCAAACAAGAGTTTCTTACAGTAAAAGAAACTTAATCAGCTGCTGATGTAGAAATGAGACAGGAACACAGAACAGACATTTCTGCTACCAGGTGGGGAACATACAGCCCTCAGGGTATATAGGTCTGGCCCTGCCAAGGCAACCATAGGCAGGACTCGAAATTCAATAAATCTAGGAGCCTTTTTCATCGCTAATTTTGAAGTTGATCATTTTGTATGGCCCTTGAATGATGTTATAAATACCCAAATGGCCCTTGGCAAAAAAAAGGTTCCCCACCCCTGTATGCACTTAGTTCCATACCAGGATCCATGCACCAAGTTCTAACCTCAGCCCCCCTCCATCCTCTGCTAGTGTGCAGCCGATTGAGAGATCCACACTCTCTACCCCACTGACAAACCCACGTGGACCTACTGGAAGGAAAAATAAATTGATGTTGACAGAAGGTGTAACTCCTAGACTCTTGTCTGAACACAGAAAGAAATAGATGATAGACATAATAAGCATTGGGCTTACAATAGACATTAAAAAATATATAAGATTTGTATCTGAAAGTAAATATCAAGGACAGCTAGATGTAAAAATCTGTATAATAACCAGAAAAATGTAGGTGTATAAGAGTGTATTAAAATAAGAGCATTTAATGGTCAATATAAATATTTCTAATACAATCAGGTTCTGACCTGTGTCTATACAGAATCTAACCAGGGATATTTTTCTAAGAGGGAAATGACTTGCACAAGGCTAAGTTTTTCTTTGAGAGTTATCTAATTCTAAAATAAACCATATACATGAGACTTTTCAAAGACAGCACCATAGGAGAATGTAGAAATGTCGAGTCTCAGGCTGATTATGGCTTAATAATGACACCACCTACCTCAAAAGCCTATTGTGAGGATTAAATAGGATAATGTAACATATGAAAAGTGCTTAGCACAGTGTTTGGCACACAGTAAACTATCAACAAATGGTAGCAACCACCACTTTGAACTGATGCTGAAAACAAAGAAGGAATTGACATTAAAACTGAAGGGCTACTCCATGTCATAGACTACTTTTTAAACAAATATGTATTTTCTGATTCACACCATCAATTCTAGTTTATATAAAACACGTGTACATAAAATTAATCTTAAGAGTTACAATTCCTTCCTCTGACATACCTGTTAAGCAGAGCTACTTTTTTTTTTTTTTTTTAAATCAGCAAGTTTTTTACTCTCTTTTCTTGTTCATTCCTTGGTAGATATATTAATACATAGTGAAATGGACCAAAAAGATAAAAAAGGACAGGGCAAATATATAAAATATTCTCTAAACATGAGAAATGGTCTTCATATCATCCTAAAGTTCTTTATTGCATTTTTTAACCCTCTAAGATTCAGGAAAAGGGTATTATTTTAATTTTATAGATGAATAAATTATATATGGAGAACTATATTTTTACATATTATGTATGTGCAAGCATAAATAAAAATCAGTATAAGATAGCATACAGTACTTGGCTAAACTTGGAAACAAGTATATATCCAGTTTGTGTAGCCAGAGAAGGTGGCATTAAATCAAAGGCTGCTGTCAGTTTATTAGCAGGGATAAATACAAAAACACAAACAAACGATATTATTGTAAATGTTTTTTCCTTAATGTAAATAATAAAGCCTGCGGCTTCAAAAATATCTCTTTTTCTTCCTTAACGTATTAAAAACACTAGTACTTCATTAAAGTCAAGCTACACAACTGACTTTGAAAATCTGTTATAATTAGAAACTATTATGAAGACCTAAAGATACACAAATTTTGTAAAGATGTAGAACCCGTCATAGATTAGTAACTTTTCCCTCTGGCTGTCACCTGAGAAGGCAGGAGCCATGTCTGTGCCCTTCTCTCTGACTAGCACGTATCATTTAATAAAGGGTCAGTTTGACGGCCACAGACACCACAGCGCATTGCCATATATTTTCAATAATTAGCACATGGCATCCACCAAAAATATTATTACTGGTAAAAAGTTAACACGCTATCCTCAAGGACCTGCTTGGAGGAGGTAAGATGACTAAGCTCAACAAATGTTTACTAAACTGACTATAATTTTAAAAATATGTTACAACAAATGCCATCCAGGACAGAAAGCAGACAAAAAGCAAAGCTGCAATACTGAATCCAATGAAGCTCACTCTCCTGCAGCGGGGCAGTGTGCACCATTATCAGCATTTGTTTTCCATAAGAAGTCTTGACATTTTGTTTAAAGCAAGGCTATCTTCAACTGGAAATTTAATATGGTCTAGCCATATTTGAGTTGCAGAATAACATACTGTATTTTAGCAAAGCAAGGCAAGTTGGAAAGAATGAACTAAACCAGTAACGAACTAAAACGTAAGGGTCTTGGTACCTGAACACAGATTTAATGCAGACAAACATAAGAAAACGTCTCCCTTACCTCCTTTCCATTTAACGGTTACAGGACACAGTAATACTGAATTAGGACACAGGCAGAAGTTTATTTAATATGTAGTACCACCTACATCCTGCTTTCATACTTGCAGCACAATTTAACACATTCAAAGAGGCTACTCAAATCAATTCAAAACATCTATCTGTATCAACAGTTTTCAAACTGTTTTTTAAATTAAAACTGGCCCCTTAAAATAATTAAGCTTCATGCAGAAATTTTATGTAGTATATAGAAGAGAGAAAAAGAGAGAGATGGTTGGTTGGAAGTAAAGTCTGGTAGCTTGGAGTCTTTCCTACCACTTCTTAGTGACCCCTCAGAAATCAAATGAGCATAGTTTGAAAACCAGTGAAATAATGTTACTTCAGCAATTAAATTTATAACAACTACATAAAGTTAAATAAGTTGAACACGTAATGGAATGCTGGGGTCTGAAGAAAGCTACCATTCAAGCAGCAGTTAAATTCATTAAACAATATACTTTTAAAAATACCCATTAAGAAGTTAAAAGGACAGCCCGGCTGGGCATGGCTCAGCGGTTGAGCATTGACCTAGGATCAGGAGATCGCAGATGGATTCCCGGTCAGGGCACGTGCCTGGGTTGTGGGCTCGATCAAGGACTCTCTCATCATTGATGTTTCTATCTCTCTCTCTCCCCCTTCCTCTCTCTGAAATCAATAAAGATATAT